AGGATCATGAAAAGGCAAAGACAGAGTCCTGAATTCCTCCTTCACTGGCCATGACCTTGGGTAAAGCTCCTGTGTCTGAGCTTCAATTTTATCCGTATCATGGAGCTGATGGTACCCATACTGCAGGACTGGTTCAAATGAATGAACACACTATGAAATCAAGTGTTATGCAAACCACAAAGCACCATACACATGACAGAAACCCCATTAAATAGCCCGCTTAAGTCAGAGGGGTCTTCTTCCTCTCTACTACCTGTAGTATCTACCAGCTGACTCACTGTCGCCCTGCTTGGTCTTGGCTTTCTTCGTTCTCCAGCTTACGATGGCTTTTCCTTTTCCCTCAACATGCTACCACATTTCCCCTGGGATGGGCCGCATATCACCAACCATCTATGGAACAGGAGACTTGAAGATAGTTTAAAAACTGAGTACACACATGTGTGCACACGTGTGTATGTGGACATGCACACTTGTTACTGAGACACTCTGACAAATGTGAAAATTTAAGAAATTTAACTCTTTATTGAACACCAAGCCAATATCAAGTGTTTATTTAAAAAAATAACGGCACCTGCTTTGAATTCATTGAGGACACCACAATCGGGTGAAGATCTACAGAGAATGTACGACTTTAGGCTGACATGAAATTATCTAGTGAGCCACAAAACAGGAATTCTGCAATAGACTCCACAGACATCACAACAGACATTTCCAGTTTCTACTCCCGGAGTTGCTAACTACTGTCTAAATGTATTCTTAAACACAGAGCACGTTGTGTTGAAACATTTCTCTTAGGACACACACAGCAGGCATGCTTTAAATAAATTAAAATCACAACACATAAATCATTCCTGAAACAATTGAGGTACACTTCTTTCCAGCTTCTTATAACAGATAATGGTACTGACTTAAAAAAAACAAACTATAGTTTTGATTTTATGTCTTGTGGGTTACCAAGCTCTTGTTAACTGCAACTTTTTTTTTTTTTTTTTTAAGTTTCTTAACTGTTTGGATATATTTTCAAAGTGATTTATCTTTTCAGATTAATTCGTTCCTTAGCACATGTGCTAAACTTCTTGAAGCACCTCTTTCCAGATATAGCCCTGGATTTAAAATAATGGCATTTCTTCCTTCTCATAGCTCACCTTACAGATACATGCCAAGTAGGTTATTCAATCACACATGTTCACATTAATAAGTATGTTTTCCCAAATCAACTGTATTTGGATTTAATTAAATGTCCAAATTCAGTGCAAAATAATTTGGTATTTTAAATCAAACCAAAAATAACAAAAGTAATTAGTTGCCCAAGGGCGGCTAGCTCTAGTCACTGTTATTGAACCCATGAGTAAGGCTGATCTGCTGGAGAAATGGCAGGGCAGTAAACATTGTAGCGAGGGCAACAATTAAATGAAAACCAAAGTGACAAAGCAGGAGATGGCTAAAATCACATGAATGCTGACAGAGAGGGGCTATCATGGGCTGAAATGAAAAGGGAGGCTTTCATAGTGGTCATGGAAGCCAAACCCCCAATGTTCCATGACAGAATCCTGAGACTAATCTCCTATGATCACTGTCCAAGATCAGCAAAGAAATGCTTTAGTTACTGCTTCAATGTAGGTTTTTTTTTGGGGGGGTGGGTGGGAGATGGGCATTTGTTCTGTTCTGGCTAAATCATACTCAAAATATGAACTGAAATAACCAAGTCAAAACCCACAGGAGAGTAATTTTAGGTTTTTGTTTTGTCCTCAGGAAATTATCGTTATCCTGGTGATCATGAAAATAATGTCACCAAAAACCCCAGGGCTGGAATTCAGTGTCCAATATCATAAATCACTGTAAGGTGCTCACCTGGTTGAACTGTGTGTCTGGTACCTGTGGAGGTGACCTTGTTTGAAAGAAGGGTCGGTGTAGATGCAATTTGTTAACATGAGGTCACACTGGAGTAGGGTGGGACCTAAACCAGCATGATTGGTGTCCTTGTAAGGAGACACAGACATAGATACAGAAGGAAGATGACCATGTGAAGAATGCAGAGAGTGGGGTTACATTTTTCCCCCCACAAACCAAGGAATGCCTGGGGCAACCAGAAGCTGGGAGAGAGAAAACTCTTTTCCTAGAGCTTTCTGAGAGATCATGGCCCTGTTGACACCTTGATTTTGGACTTCTAGCCTCTAAAACTGTGAGACAATAAGATTTCTCTTTGTAGCCACCCAGCTATATTTTGTTACAGCTGTATTTTGTTACAGCAGCCCTAGGAAACTAACACGACTAGTTTTCATGGTTAGGTATGCGCCACATGTTTAGTACAAATGAAAGGGTCAGAAAAGGACTGATTTAAATGTAAATTAAATGTCCAATTGCAGAATATGTCATAGCTATATCATTATTTTAAAACTGTGTATTTACAAAACTTTGATTTAATCTCATTACACAGAGAAGAGATAACAAGCAGTGGGTGGGTATGTTCCTTAAGAAGAATATAACACTGCAGAGAACAAAAGATGAAGCTACCTTAGAGTACATCATCTCATTAAAAAGCTTCCTGAACTTTCAGTAAGACTCTAAAATAAACAGACCATGTTGGTGAGGCATATCCAAGGGAAAATACGGCTATCTGACATCTAATGAGAGTCACTGGAAATAAGAATTTTCAAAAAGGAATCCATGACTAAGCGGGATGATTTAGATTCTCCACTATCTCAGTTTCTATTGGGTTCTGTTAGCAGCTTCAGCCCGGGGAGGGTTGTATGCTGCTTTCCAGTCCTCCTCTGCGTCCCTCAGTGGGGAGGAGACACCCGGGTCACAGGTCTGCGAAGTGCCGACAAAAGCACTTGCTAGACTGAGTGACCAAGCAACCTGAGAGTGACGCTAAGTTGTTTTGGATCCTCACTCTCTCTAAACTAACAGCAGACTCCACACCTGCACCTGCCCCTGGCATTTTAAAAGCGTCTCTCAGAAAGATTTACAATATTCAGAGAAGCCCACCCAGGATCCAGTTTATTTAGTTACACCCAGCCCTGAGCCTACCTGGAGACTGATGGCCACAGGTGAGGAACAGTGGCCAGAGGAAGCTCACCATTCTTCTCCCTCCCCTACCAGTTCCCCAGGTTTGATGGTCACAGCAGACACAGCCCACTTGGCCAGTCAAGCAGGAGTTCTGCCAAGGAAAGGGGCCACAGTCATGAGATGGTGGTGGGATTACTAACTCCCTCCTTCCTGAAGCAAAAATAACTTGTAAGAAAAGATTTCATGGAAATTATCTTTATTGTTTTAAAAAGCTTGAGTCTGGAATGATATAGTGGTGATGGTTGCAAAGGCTTGTGGATATACTAAAAACCACTGACTGTGCCTTAAAGCAGCCTGACTTGGACAGATCTCAGGTACACCCAGTTTGGATCAAATACCAAACTATTCCATTCTCTCAAATCATAGCACTCTGTCACATTTTTTTTTTTTTTTTTTCAGGAGATTTCCCTAAGAATAGCTGTTTGCAAAATATTGCACTTGAATTCAATGTGGGCAATTTGATGTTTCCTGGAAGAAAACATCCACTAACGTGCCTCTGTACGCCCTCAGAGAACAGAGCAGTGGGTGGAGGAGGGGCTGAGCAGCACAGGTCCCACTGAATCTTCTATGGCTTCCTTTTTATTAGGTATACAGAGAAACATATTTAGACGAAAGCATCTTCTTGGATGAGGCAGTGAATGGCATTCCCCAAACAGGCCAAAGATGTTCACTTCAGCAATAGCGCAGCCATCTGATTACCTCAGAACTTATTTCCAGTAAGATCTGAAGACACAGATGGCAGCCTTGGCTCAAACACTGGGTGTAATTTATTTTATTCTTGCTGGTCTTACACCTCCCTAAGAGGGCTTTCTCTCAGTCTTACTCCAGGTGAACCACTCCCACTAACCTAGCCACCATCCCACTGGGCCTGACACTGTACTCTCCTCATGCATCCAGTGCTGACCGGCTCAGTGAACTTTAGCTTTACAAACTATGATTCTGTTAATCTCGTGAAAGGAAAAGGAAAAACATCAACAAATAACGAGCACCAGGAGTGTCATCCGCTTGCATTTCCCACAGCAGGTTTCGCAATCCCTCACAGACCTGTGAGTAAAGCAAATCACAGAGTGAATCACAGCCTCAAGGGGGTTTTGTCCCCATGAAGATTTACCAAAACACGAACCTCTGGAGCAGTGCTAGCAGGAGCCAAGATTAGCGTTAAAGCCATGGTTTTATGAGGGATTTGGCAGCATTTTGGCATGCTTTGGAGATGGGGCATTCAATGGCCAGTTAAGATAAAGTAAGATGTGCAGTTCCCTGGGTGGAAGAAGAGGGAAGCCCCATTCATAAATCCCTGTGTCCTGCCATTTAAAGTGCAGCCAAAACCCTGTTGAATAAACAGATGTGTTATAAGATTTTCATGTTACAGAGAGTCACACACAATTGACCATGGTGGACACTGGTCCATAATGGGATCTACAGTAATCTGTGGACAAGTGGGAGGGATTACATAGGGATTTCAATAGGCCACAAGTGTTCAACATTGCCAACTCCTGTGTTTCTCCATTTCCCCCCGAGTTATGCCCATGCTTTCTGCTTATAGGATTTGGGGAAAACACAACCACTAGCAATAGTGAAGCTGAATTTTGGTAGAGATTTAAAAGAGAGACCCTTTCTTCTGGGTCACTAACTGTGCCAATTGCTCAATTACAGAGGTCTACCATGCTGGGCTAGTCAGGTGAGCAGGAAATCTGGTCTGATTAAGGCAGTGAGCATACGTGGGGAGAACTCAGAAACATTCACATTAACCAAGTACAGGAAATGCATTGGCAGCTGCTACTAGTTAGAGAACTGTAGTTATTTTATACCACACAGCCTCAGTGCTTCTTATTGTCTTCAGTCAGCCAACTTTTAATTTTAAAATTTGGTAGTATGCACAAAGTTTTCTAAAATAAAAACTTGAAAGAACCTGAAGACAAGCACCAGTGGTTTCATCTTGGTATTATTATCCTTTCTATGGCACACAGAATAGGGTCCCAGTTTTTACAAAATATCGCAAGGAGAGTCACGGCAAAGAAGGTGCCAAGAATGTGGAAGCGGCTCTTCATCATGGGAGAGACAAACTTTGCGAGAGTCGACACACACACTAAGATAACCGTCATGAAGGCTAGGATGACGTTTATGCACTTCCCCAGGAGAACTTTGGCATTCACGGTGTCTGTCTGCAGGGCTTGCTGCTCCTGCTGATGGAGCTCCAGCTTAGAAATGCGAGTCTGGCAGGACTCCAAGGCTTCCTGTGGGCAAGAGAGAGAGGATCAAAAGCTGTTGAGATGACGAGTGGAATGTAGCGCAGGCTCAGACGTGCACAAAAGCCCTCGAGCTCAGGATGCCTGATGCTTAGGCAGCTTCAAATACTCAAACTCGTGATGATGGTGATGATGATGATGGACAAAGAAGTAATACAAGATCCCATGGTTCATCTTACCCTATTCATGGATCGAATGAACATGTCTAGACAGCCACAAAACACTGTAAGTGAACAATTATGATTATTACAACTTTTTAAAATATTGGCACCTGTTGGTATCATGGGAGGGGGCCCAAACTCGAGAAAGGATAGGGTTCTGTTTTGTGACAGCGGAGCATCCTACGTTCAGTCACGGAGGAGATGGTGTCTTCAGTTACCAGTCCTTACTTCTACTGCTCAAATCCCCAGGTAATGCAAACGGTTTGTACTCTTCTACTAATCTAATCCACAGGTGGTGGTTCAACCCCCTCAGTGGCACAGTGGAAGAAAGGCCTGGTGATCTGTTTCTGTAGGATTACAGTTGAGAAAACCAGGGGGAGCAGTTCTACTCTGTGGCACCTGTAGTTTCCATGAACTGGAATCACTTTGACAGCAATGAGTCTGTTTTTTTTTCTTTTTTAATTTTCAGCGCTCAGAGCTTGTGTGTGTCCATTTACATACTAGTCGAGAATGGAGAGGGAAGGGAGGACGAAGGGGACAGGATGGACCAAGCTGGGGCACCTGTGCTGCTGCCAGCCCTTTGGGTGCTGTGCTCCTCAGGAAACTACCCTAAGCCACATTCTCTCTGTAGATCTTATTCACTCCAAGGCTGCAATTACTAAGACAGAGATGGCTCCTGAGTGTGTCTCTAGCCTGGCTGTCTCCTCCGAGACTGACTCAAATCCATATGGCTCCTTGATATCTTCACTGGAGCTTCTTGAAAGAGCCTTGAATTCAACATGTCCAAATGCAGAATTATGTGTCGCACCCCCTTGACCCCACCCCCCAAATCAATCATGTTTCCCCTCTGCTGTTCCTCTTTCAGAAAACAGCACCACGATCCACCCAGTTCCTCAGACAGAAGCCCGTGAGGCATCCTCTGACATCCTTTCATCTACCCCATCACCCAGCCCTGTTGATATCACATCCAACATTGACTGCAATTAGCTTAATTCTCTCTCCTCCCACAGCCACCACTCAAACTAAGGGACCACAATCTCTTGCCTGCAATAACTTGACTTCTTGTCTCTACACATCCTCTTGTTCCCCAACTCCATGAATCCATTTTCCACACAGCAGCCAAGTGCTCTTTCAAAGATGCATATTTGATGCCACTCCTTTTCTTAAGAACTTTCAAATACATAACATGGCCCTTTGAGGCTTGGCATAGTCCAGACCCAGCTAGCACCACACCCTCCCCCCATCATCATGTTCTGATCATACTGGCTTTTTCCCACTTCTGAAAAGGAGCACCTACCTACCTCAGGGCCTTTGCACATGCAGTATACTCTGCTAAAATGTTCCTCTCCTTCCTCTCTCGTCTCTGTAGTGGTGGGTCACCCATGTACTTTTCAGATCACATTAGGATTGGTACTTCATGGGGGAAGCTTCCTGTGACCCATCAGATTAGGCCAAGGCTCTCTCTGGCCTTCCTCCCCCATGAGGCCATAAGCTGTGGGAGGGCAGGCACTAGGCCCAGCTTATCATGGTGCTGTTGTCCCCAGCAGAAAGCCTAATGCCAGGCACACAGAAGGTGCCATATATCTGTTGAATATTCAAGACACTGCATGCCAGTATTAGGATGTGAAGTTGACAGCAAAAAAACCTCCACCTTTTGGGAGAAAAAAAGATCTAACAGAGGCAACACCACATGCCCCTTTAGCTCACTAGTCTGTTTCTAACTCACTGACCAATATGCATTTGCTCAGCTAAGATGCAGTCATCTTTTTAAGGTTTTAAATAAGTATAATGGCTCCAACACTGATTTGCTTTGCTGCTGCTGGATATACTCTATGGGCCAAAGAAAAGGGTTCTCTGTTACTATAGTAACTTTCATTACACTGGGCTACCAACAAGAAAAGGTGAAACTTCCTATCTTCACATTGTAAAACATGCTGGCTTTCCTGAGTAAATTATGAACCTACTTCGTAACAGCCACATACCCCAGAGATCACGCACTCTCTTCAACCACGTGGGGTGCAGGTTCCCTCCATTTTAGGTATGAAATGGAAAAGGCAATAGAGTGAAACAAAGAATGAATTATCAACACATTTTTCAAATCAATCTATTATTGGGTAGACGAAATACATGCACAGATAGACTGATCTTACAATTGCCTTAGAACTGTCATCAAATTTTTTGTCAAAAGGTAAAACCCAAGAAAACTAAGCACTGAATTGTAAGGGGTTTTAGTCATGGCGTCAAGAGAGATTCAGTCTCACAGTCTTTAGTGCTTCCTCAGGCCCAGTATTTAATGTATTGGGGATGAGAGCAGAGGGAGTATTTGTAAACATTGTAAATTGGAGATTCAGAATTAAAACCCAAAACAAAACTCAACTGCTTAAAACAAGAACAGAACCCCTGCATTCCTGTGGGGAAAAAAAAGCCACCTGCATTCATACTAGCCCATCCCCTTGATATAACCCTGTAAGAACAAAACAAACAAGAAATAAAGATGAAGTTGAGCTGGCTCAACTGCCTGAGGAACATAGCTACAACAACAGGGTAATAAAATGAAGAACCAGCATTTGTTGACTGCTAGTTAAGTGTGAGGTAAAGACTTGAATATTTACATGTATTGTCCCTCTAACCCTCTGACAGCCTTCTGAAGTAGAGCTCACTGAGACTGCCACTTTATGGATAAGGAGATGGGGGCATAGGGTGCTCATTTGTCCAGAGTCCAAGAGAGAGTAAGTGGAAGAGCCAGGATTCTCATCATTATGAGCAAGACCCCCAGGAGCTTACACAGATGTTATCTTTGCATTTCTGAGTTAGAGTGAAACCAAAAATGTTGAAATGAACTCTTGAATTTTTAAGTTCCTTTGTGAAGCCCTTCCCTTTATCTGACCCTTTCACCTCTAACTATGCTTCATAAAAGGGGAAGGACAATATTAACCCAAACTATTCCCCACGTAAGACCAATTTTAAGCTGTGCATTTAGACAAGATCAAGTGACATATCAGACATGTTCAAAAATAGAATGACCTGAGACACTGTACTGGTCAAATAACACTTTGTATATAAAAGGAGTCAGGTTTTTCAAACCAGCTAGTGGTTTGCTAAGTCTCCTAATGCAGAGCAGGGCCCGAACCCTCTCTCCCAAGCATCTTCTGTTCCAGAGGAAGGTCAGTGGTCTCTGGAGGCAAACACCCCCTACCGTCTGATGCTTTGGTTCCCAAACCTGATGAATCTGGATTTAGCACAGGACCAGCCAGTGACACAGAGCAGAACAAAAAGGGGGCCGCTGGGACCCCAGCTCACACACTGCAGGAGAAATTGCTACTTTTAGGTTTCTGCTCTCTCCCTTATAAAATGGGGTTTGGACAGCCAATGGCCTTTATAGAGCTGGAGAAAATAACTACTGCCTACAAAGAAAGTTTGTGAAACTGCAGCTAAACATTAGGTGAAGATTACATATACTCCTTTGTTACAAAAATAGTAATTAAAGAAGGTGACCAACAAGCCCAGGGTTGTTTCATCACAGCACTAGTGTCAGTTAGGAAATACTGGAAGATGGCTATGTTTACAGTGATGCAGGTAGAAGCCATCTGCTTGGATCCTACTTATCCCTTCAATGACCTTCTCCAGAACAGTCATTCACAGGCTTTATTATTCAAGGACTTTTTGTGAGACCTTGTTCAAGTCAATTAACCTTGTGCATCAGCCTCTACATCTGAGAAATGGGGATCCTAACAACATAGGAGTGTTGTGAGGAGTAACTGGGGGGAAAATAAAGTGCTTTGTGAGTCCTTGACACACAGTCTGCATTCAGATGCTTGAAACTCTTAGGAAAATTAGAATGTGAAGGTGATGATTTTGTAGAGCAAAGGTACTTACGGCTTGCTCAGGACCCCACAGCTAGCAAATGGCAGACCCGGGACTGGACTCCAAAGTTTGGCCACTAGATGACTGGCCGTCTCATTACTGTGAAGCTTCCTGGGCGCTGCACATCTGAATTTGAGGCTTTCCGAGGCTGTACCACGTAATGGGGCCCTTCTTTATGTTGTCTTGATCTGCCTGTGCTACTCCTGACTCCCAGCTAGGCAGCAAGCTTACTGTAGGCAAGGTTTGTCACAAACTCTTATATTTTTCAAAATTTTAGTGGTGACCGAGAGGGCACAATTTAAGTGATGGTCTTGGGGTAGATAATAAATTCTTATTAACTGATCAGACAGAAAGTGTACAGAGTGTAGCTTATTTATGTAACATTTACAACATGAGCTAATGGTGGAGAAGAAATGTTGGTGTAGAGCAAACATTTTGCCTCATGTGCCAGAAATCCTTTAGGGTTTAAGGGTGATTCACTTAGTTTGTTCAATAAATTCAAGCCTGGGTATAGCCTGCGTGAACACCTGATCATGAGAGAAACAGCACCTGGATGTCCCGCGACCGCTCGTAGGCCTGGTAGGCCACCTTCTCCTCGATGCTGGCCAGCTCCTGTTTCAGGTTGGCTGTCTCATGCTGGTGCAAATCCGTCAGGTCATGGAGCTGGTCTTCCAATCGTTCGTACCTTACAAGAGAGGAGTCGATTCTGAGTGACATTCCAGAGGTCTTCCAGTGGCTATCCTTTTTATCTGACTGCCGCTGTGCCCCTTGGCTTGTTTTCATTCTCTGGCAGACTGCTTTTTTTCTCCCCAAAAGAACAAGTCTAGCTGTGAGAAACACTTTTTCTGATTACTCTGAATCCAGGTCCGTAAAGGACTTGCAGCGTTAACCCTCTGATCTCACTGCTGAGCGTGCAAACCACATCTGGCTTTTCTTCTCATGTCAGACTAGCACCTTATCTGGCTGCAGTGAAGACAGGGCACACCTTCCTAGCTCATGCATTTGACAGAGCCAAAGACAAGGCTGTCCAATGTCCTGCTCAAGGTAAGGACCCACCACATTCGTAGCGGGTTCTCCCTCTTCTACTCCCCACAGTGCTGGGGCTTCATAGCCAGAGTGCCTCTAATGTGAGAAGCATGTTTTTAGTATCAACTTCTATGGAGCCAGGTCCACTGCTTCCCAATGCACAACTACTACCGAATAGTTTTCAGCTTTTGGAACTTCAGTGACAATAAAAAAACCATGCTTGTTATAAATTAAAGACCGCTCATCAGGTGGTGTTTCTAAAAGTTCAAATCTAAAGTAACAGAAGTATAATATTCCCACCCTACCCCGCCCCTTCAGAGGACACGGGCCTGTCTTATATTTGAAACTTCACAATGTCTACTTTGAAAAGGAAGTGCTGTTTGGGGAAGATGCATTAGCCTGGAATGATCTCCATCAATGCTACTTTGGATGCTTATATAGGCTATTTTATAGAATCATTGAAAAAAAAAAAAAGAGGCAAAAGATTTTAATAGATTTAATGATTATTCTCAGTTCTGATCTCATAGGTGTTAAATGGTGGTGGTGGTGTAAACAAGCCTTTCAAACGTCTCTTAATTATGTAAGCAAACCAGTGAATGGTTGCATCATGGGAATATAAGTATGGGACAAATGAAAGCAAAAACTGCCCCAACTTTATGTAAATGCATATTTTTGACTTGGTCTTACATTTATATCCAAAAAATGCTGTATCCCAAACTAGTCAGATGAAATTAAAGTTAATATACTCTGGAAAAGCTATGACTCAGAATATTGTTCTTATGTGATAAAGACACCCAAACCAAAGTTGCATGTAGGAAGTTTCAAACAACTGTTTCAGAGACTATGAGAATTGGGAAAAGCACATTTCTAAATTAATATAACAGAAAGTCACTACAGATAAAAAACAACGTATAAGCTAAATCTGAAAGTTAAATGTTATCATATGCAATAGGCATTTCACTATTTAGTCTATAATATTAGAAGTCAATGTATTCATTTTGACCAAAAAACATTTTGGGGAAGTTTTCACTGAGAAAATGGAGGAAAATTACCCATACTGGGGCATATATATTTAAAAAAAAGAAAAAAAAAGCTATACATACATAAAAGTCAGCCTTCAAAATATCTAACTTTTAAAACTAGCTAAAATAACCCGTAAGATTTGAATTTATACTTTTATCTTAAGATTGCTTTTGGAAGCACTTCATTTAGGGTGAAAAGTTTAATGAGCTAAATACAGTATGTAAAAAATTACAGTATATAAAGATTTCAAGATTGATGTATCAAATAAAAGCTACCTTGTTAGACAATGAATTAGTCTTTTACTTGACATAGTAATTGAAGGGAATCAAATATAGATGCATGCATTGGTGTAACGAGCCTTCAGAGCCCTACTGAATGACTCTCAGATGCACACAGGTCATAGACTATACACAGTGTATTCCAACAGAACCACACATATCATGGCTTCTCTAAATAGTCAACTACAGGTTACGAATGATAAAACTTAAAGAGTTATAAAGCACGGAAAGAACTAGTGATTCCTAAATGCCTTTTGATTTATGTCCATATTCATGGACCACAAAACCATTAACGTATCACTTTTAAGCAGCAATTTCTCTGTAGTTAGTAATCTATGGTTCTAGAAGAATACCAGTAGGGCAGTCAGAAATACCTGTATCTCTCCTCTTGCAGGGTCTGAGAAATAAAACCGTATTCTCTCTTAAACTGCACCTTCAGAGCCTCAATGTCCTCGGCCAGCTGTGCCTGGGTGTCCTTAATCTCCCTCAGTTCCTCCAGGATCACGGTGAGCTTGCCCTGGCTGTCCAGCGTGCTGGCCCCACGAGCCCCAAAGGACTGGTTCCCATTACTGTCAGCGGAGCCCGACGTGCCGCTCGAACACTCGTCATCACTGCCGTATTTGGGTTTGTTCACTATGGTAGTGCTGCCCCCATAGGCCCTGGCACTGGCGTCAGGCCTAAACTCCTCTAAGGAGTTTTTTAAGTGAGCAATGTTGTCAGCGCTGCCAAACTTATTCCGCATCAAGTTAGCAAACTCTCTGGATTTACTGAAGACAAACACAGGTGGCGTGAGGGACACCCCCGGCATGCCTGATTTACTACTCTCCATGCTGTGGGGTGCAGTTCGAGATTTCGCATGGGCATCTTTCAGAGAAGGGTGTATGTCCTTCAGGTTGTCTTTGGAAATGTCCTTCGAGCTTCTGGAGGCTCCATTTTGTTCGAGCTCCCTGAGCTTTCGGTGATACTGCTCTAACTTCTTCTGCAGCTGGGCAATCGAGTGAGCTGACTTCTGATTCTTCTTCTCAAAGACCTGTTTGATCCGTCCAGCCTGCTGCTTGTCTGCGCTGCTGACCAGTTTCAGATACTCTGCAACATTCCCATCGCGGGAGGTTTGCTCAATTTTTATCTGCTCTGTTACCTTTAAAATTTTTTGCTTCAGGCTGTCCGCATTGAGCTTGATCTTGTGAAAATCCAGGACGCCATCTGGTACATCAAAGTTGAGGTTGGTGTCCGACCCTCCTCGGCGTATGTTCAGGGGCAGGCTTAAGGTATTCATGTCATGACGTTCTACCTGAAAAGACGCAGGGAAGAGGGACTTTAAAATTTGGAATCAGAGAGTCTGAGTGTGATAATACCTGTAACATAATGGATATACCTTGAGTCTCAGATTTTCAAATTGCAGGTATTTACAAGATAGAAACTCCCTGCTATCCTCTCAAGTTGAATGCAAACCCAAAAAACCAAACCCACTGTCATTGAGTTGATTCCAATTCATAGCAACCCATAGGGTTTCCAAGGCTATAAATCTTTATGGAAGTAGATTGCCTCATCTTACTTCCACAGAGCAGCTGGTGGGTTTGAACCACTAAACTTCTGGTTAGCAGCCAAATATACCTTAACCACGGTACCACAGAGCTCCTTCAAGGTGAATGCAGACAGCCCAACTCCTTCCTGCATCCATACATACTGACTGAGATTCACATCTTCCAGGGTATTCAATTTGCAGTCTAAACAGGTGGTAACTGTTGGTTGCCAGGGTGGAAAATGCATACTACAAGGAGGTCACCAGTCAGTTTTAGTTCCCCGATGTGCCCAGGTAACTGGGGTACCTGCCATGGCCCATTCACTGAGTTTCACCATCCTCTAAAAGGTATCCTAATTCACAATTCAACCACTTAACAGAAGGAGAACGGGGATGGGGAGAGGGAAGTTACAGCAGGAGTATCCATCAACACAAGAAAATTATCTCTTAATGGAATCATTAAACAGATGCGAATGAAAGGTACAAGATTAATTTTAATAATTGAGTAACATAACCACAATATTTAGAAATGAAAATAAACAACCTCAAACCACAACCACAGTAATTTTTTTGTGAAGTAATGATAATACTAAGACCATGCGAATAGCTGTCTCACTCGTAGGCAAAGAACCTAGAGAAAAGAACCGGAAGCAGCATTGAGTGGCCTCACAAGGAGGTGGCTGGCCTATGCAGTAAAGGGGAAAGGTAGTCTGTGTGCCAGGCACTACTGAGGCTTCATAAAGGTCATCTTGTTTGAGCTTCACAACCATGTCAGGAGCCCAGGTTGCACAATGGTTAAGCACTTGGTTGCTAACTAAAAGGTTGGTGGTTTCATGGCTCTGCAGGAGAAAAGATCGGCAACCTGCTCCCATAAAGATTACAGAGTAGGAAACTCTATAGGGCAGTTTGCTCTGTCCTACAGGGTTACTAGGAGTCAGAATTGATTCAATGGCACACAACAACAACAGCACCACACCACGCAAAGAGTGTATTATGTCCATGTAATATGTGTAAACTGAGGTATAAAGAGCCAGGCTTTGAATCCAAGTCACCCTAACTCTGGTCTTCCTCCGTATCAGGCCCCTCTCCTATTAGCGTTCTCAGAGGACTAGAAATAGGCCTTTGTAGAATCTGAACACAATTTTCAAACAAAGATTCATAAACTCTACAATGATGCATCTTATTTATAAAGTAAACCTTTCATTAGAACAAGGCCTTGATACAGAGTCTCAAGGGAGACTGAATGGGAGGGAGACAAGACAATATTCAACACAAGTTGCCTTTGTTTTTAGGGACCAGTAGGCTGACACAATAAAACAGGGGCAAGATAAGTAAAGATCTTACACTTACTGAATGAACCACACAAACGTGGACCATTTTCACAGTGAGTGTTAACCCTTCGCCATGGGAAATATCCTTCCCAGCGCTTTATCCCACAGTTACAGGGGGACACAGGCCCAGCTGGTGGGCAGGTCTCCTTCACAACTTACAAAGTTTGTTAACATTATTTCTTGGCCCCTCTCCTCCGACACACAATTTTGCCATGAATAAGAGACTGGTTATTTAACCTGGCAGAAAAGCATACACAGGAAAGGCTCGACGAAAGAGAAATAAGTAAGTAAAAAGCCCAGTCACTATACAACTGGAAAGTAGGATGTATGACAAAAACATCGTTCTACATCCTACTTTGGTGAGTAGCGTGACTGGGGTCTTAAAAGTTTTCAAGTGGCTATCTACGATGCAAAAATTGGTCTCTCCTTGTCCAGAGTAAAGAAGAATAAAGAAAACTAAAGACACATGAGCTCTGGTAGCATAGTGGCTAAGACACTTGCCTGCTAACCAGACGACTGGCGGTTCAAACCCACCAGCCACTCCTCGGAAGGAAGGTTGGGCAATCCTACTTCCGTAGTGATACTGCCTCGGAAACCCAAGGAGGGGTCGCTATGAGTCAGGTATGACTCGACGGCACATAACAACAACAACAACAACAACAAAGACACATGAAAACAATTAGTCCATGGGACTAGTGGACCATATGAATCTCAGCCTATATGACCCTGAGACCAGAAGAACTAGATGGTGTCTGGCTACCACTAACAACAACTTGGGAAGGGATCAAAACAGGAGTCTCAGATAAAGTGGGAGAAAAATGTAGAACAAAACTCAAAATTATAAAAGAAGAGCAGGCTTACTGGTCTGACAGGGACTGGTGAAACTCCCAAGGCTATGGCCTCTAGTCACCCTTTGGGTCTGGAATTGAACTCACTGCTGTGGCCTCCAGCCAAAAAACAAACAGACAGGCATATAAGGTGAACATTTACACCAGGCAGCTACACTCCTTAGAACAATCAACCATGGGAAACCAGAAGGGAAGTATTTGCATAGGAAGATAGCTCAGAGGGCAGGAATGCACAGGAAAGAAGGACACAGGGAAAGGGTAACCAGAGGGAGGAAGTGGGAATTGCAGTCAATGTCATGAAACAAAATGTGTATGAACTGTTGTATTGAAAATGAATTAGCTCTGTAAACTTTCACCCAAATCACAATGAAAAAAAAATGCAAAAAAAAAAAAAAAAAAAAAAAATGGAAGGAAATATTCAAAAAAGAACGAAGGATTAATGTGAGTGGAGGAGGGAAGAGTAAGTATTGGAAATAAAGAAGATGT